AGATCAGCACGGTCCAAATCCTAGGGGAAAGTTGTTTCCAATCGATGTGTAAATTTAGCTCCCAGCGCAAAGTGTGAATGATAGGCGCCGGGCAAAACATAACGAATGCACTTTTTGTGTGCGAACGCACCTAAAAAGAGTTAAAAAACAGTAAGGCGAATGAATCGACGGGCGGAGTCGCAGTAGGAGGTCCGCATCCAGAAAGCCATGGGGCAGGGGGCGGTTACTATGGCGTCTGGATCGGGGGTCTGCTTTAATGCACTGCTGCTGCAGTCGCAGTCCGCGCAGGCTGCTGTTGCTGATTATGTTGATGACGATGCGCAAACATCAAAATAATCGAATAAATTAAAATGCAAGAGAAGGGAAATGCACAAAACTCAATCGACACCCGCCCACTGGGCGCTGGCAAAAGCAGGCAGCTGCGGGGTGGTCGGAATTCGCATTAATAGGGCTGCTAATTATTGACGTGCGTGGCACAACCCCAGCCCCAGCCCCGTTCCCAGCCCCGACCCACTTTTGTGGCTTGGCGCTGACTGCGTCGACAGTGAACGTGAACGACTCTCATAATGAGTTTTTTCTGGCTGCAGTTTGTTGCTGGGGCAGCGACAAATGCGGCAGTGCGTCGTGTCGGGGCAAAATCAGTTTCGAAAATGCTTTGTCAACAGCAACACACATTCAAAATTTTCGGTTTAGTCGCATAAGTTTTATTTTACCTGATTTAGTACAATATTACAACTTTGGCTCGCCACTTGATTCTGTGTTGGAAATTCTCCTGATTTTCTGTCGAAAGGGAAAGTCCCCTAACATGAGTGAGTGCATTGACTGCCGTGGGCGTGAGCGTGAGAGTGTGTGTGTCCGGTCTAAATCTAAGCGCTTCCTGTGACCAGCCCCAAACAACTGCATAGCCAGCATCAGCCCCTGCGAAATGGGGGTGTGTGTTGTGTTTTGATGTAAATTATGCAAATACTACCCCTATTACAGCCCTAAGCCGCAGAGAGCGCCCTCCACCGCCCATCGCCCACCGCCTCCCTATTTCTATATTACGCTGGCGTCGACGTTGTGGCTGGTGTTTGTGGTTTTGTTTTTGCCGCTAGTTAGCTGCGCTGGCCGATGCATCTGATTAACAAAATTAGTTTAGAAAACTCCGCTCTCGCGTTCGAAACAAACCAAAATTGTTTCGCTTTTTTCGACAAAAATAAAATGATTGCCAATTGCTCAACGAGTCGGGATGACCTGAAGCGATGATTTTCCGTCCGCCTTTATTTTCGGATTACTAAAAGTGCAAAACGAAAGATCTTAGCCATGGTATGCGATCCGGAAAGCTTGCAAGTAAACTACGTAGCTCAAGTGCATAGTTTATATATCTAATCCCTATACCTTTCTCATAAGCTTACTCTTAAACCCATATTTAAAAGTAAAAAAGTGGCGTATTTCAGGTGAAAAGTGCAACTCACATCTCGATTGTATAAAATCCTTTGGATAATTGTAGTAACATTTTAGTCAATAACTAACCCAGCTGCATTAAAGTATTGTTTGTTTGATCTAAAAGTTAACAAGTCCGTAACATGAACTTTAAATCATCAAGCATCCCTTCAGTCTTCGGTTCGCTTTAATTTTCATTAGATACGTGTGCGTGCTCGCCTGTGTTCTCCGACCTCGACGATGTTTCGTTAACCCTTTTGTGATCTATTTTCTAGCTGTGGCATCGTTTCTGTGTCGCGAAAAGGCGACTCCCGACGCGACGAAGACTGTTCTTGAATGAAAGTCAAAGTAAAAACGGCCAAACGGCAAAACAACCAAAACCTAAACAAAATATAAAACGACACACGAAGCGATTGGCGCGGGGCTTGGGGGGGTCGGCAACTAGAAAGCGCGCCGGAGAGCGCCAAACTTTGATAAGGCAAAGCAAAACAAAACGGAGGGCTTGTGGGTGAAACCGGGGGCTTGACGCCGGGAAAAACAAACAAGAAGCGCCTTCCGTTCGGCTTTCCGACGCAAAAAGGATAAAAGGTCGAGACGTCGAAGAGAAGTGCAGCGCGAGAATGAGGACGACTCGAAGGGGGCTGGCCGCAGTGGGTGGCAGAGGGTGGCTGTGGGTGGCAGGGGGCTGCCCAGGTGCGTTGCCGGGTTGAATGCACGCCGCGACAGAGCGAGATGGCCGATTGCCGCTGCATTCTTCCGCCATCTCTCTCTGCGCATGCGAAAAGCCCCCAAGTAGACGTGCTAAAAAGGGGGCTGGCGGGACGGGGGATTGTATGTAATGCGGGTGGGTGAGTGGGGTGGGGGCAGCATGGTGCTCGGTGGGCTGGGACAGGTGCAATTTATTTATTTATTTCGATTCATTTCCGCTTTTGTGTGGGACTAAATGAAAACTCATTTCCCTTTGATGTGTGCTCTGCTCCTCTTTCACTTTTCCTCGGACTCTGGCAGAGCGGGATGGCCATAGCCAGCGGACGCGGAGAGAGCGAGAGGTAGCCAGTGGGCTTCGCTCCCTTTCGCTCTCTTTCGCTTTTGGGTGCTGCTGCGCGATAATGAAAAAGTGTAATGCACCAAAAAGTGACATAAGGCTGTAAATTAAGCAACAACAACGACAACGGGCTTAAACTCTGCCCTGTACATATGTGCCGTGATATACTTGCATACATAAAAATGTGTACGGCACATAGGTGCGGGAATATATGTGCACATAATCGGTTATTTACAGTTATCTGCATATCATGAACGAGAGCCAGCTACAGCCCCAATCCAACCCCGAGTGTTGGTGGGTGGTATCGTGGCTCTGGCTTTTGGCCCGAGGCTGCCCACGTACGTACGGAGTCCCCGTGAGGGCTCTTTGGGTCCTGGTCAACTCCTTTATGTTTTCCCATCAAATTAAAAGCCTTTTCACCGAAAATTACAAAAATGGTAATCGTCTGTCTATATGCCCACACACCACGATAATACATATGTGCCTGTGCGGGGGTTTGCGGCTGGGCTCTATTCACTTTGGGTCCCGGCTAATCGATGCTCTTTGCTGGGTGATCTGGGAAGGATTCATTTTTCCACCTGAAATGAATCATTAATAAGATATGTATATGTTTTGAATTTATTTAAATCAGGGACCGTAAATAATTATTATTTGAGATTTTTATTTTAAAAGGCCTACTGAGATTTTTACAAGTTTTAGTCAACAATTTAACTGGTTTTTATGCACTTTATAGACATGAACAAATAACACTTAACTTGCTTTACAGATTTGTTGACATGCATACACACAAAAAAATTTGCTTGGTAAAATAGACCAACAAAGATAGTCACGTAACTATTAAAATAGTTACGTGTATTTTGTTTTTGCTTTGGGTTTGTGTCTTTGCTAATTGTGTGTATTTTGTTGTTGTGAAATGACTATTTACTTATTAGAATTGACAATTTTGCTGGTTGGGGCCTGTTTGACAATTATTACAGTTGATTTTACCAAGTTTTTTTTTTGTGTGTATATACTTTGTGGACAATAGTAAAAAGAACGTTATTTTTGACGTTTTAAACAAAAAATCTTTTTAAAATAAAAATCTCAAATAATGATTATTTACGGTCCCTGATTTAAATTGTCTAATTCGGCGTTGACTTTTCGCGTATGTTCATGGCAGCCTAAATAATTTTAATGAAATAATAATGGAAATGTATTCGGCTTCAAAATCGCTATTTTCCCTTGTTGAATGCTGTTTCAGAAATATGATACAGTAGTCTGCTGTTTGGAGCATGAATATTAATTAATATTATTATATTTATGGTCATAGCGAATTTGATTGCATACAGTTGAGAAATTTAGCCAGGTCCGTTTGAAGAACTCAGCAGCAAGAGAATACTTTTACTTCAGGGAGTGATTTTGAACGCACCATTGGAAATGTGATTGCCCTTGTACATAAGTCTTTGCTAATGCTAATTTAGATGAAGGCCGTGAGGGAAACCCCACGGCCCGTTCTGCCTGCCAAATTCATCTTTTTTGCGTTCTATTTCTCTTGTTGCTCTTCCTCTTGGCCCATGGAGCATACGCTTAGCAGGGAGCGGGCCGGCTGAAATTTACATAGCCAAAGTCGACAAAGTCGCAAAAAGCAACAACGACCGAAACCGGCTTGCCAGCTCACACACTCACAAAACTCACCCACATATGCAAGCACCGCACAAGATAAGAGCGTCAACAACAAGAACAGCCGAATACAACAGAAACCGGCTTTTTGTGTGACCTAATATTTGAGTTAACTACTTTGGCAAAAAGGCGAACAGAAATCGCACTGGGGAGTGTTTCATGAAGTACGCTTTTCGCTCGCGATAAGATTAGAGCATATCGGAGCGGGCGGTGCGGAAAGGGCCTTATCAGGAGATACGGCCACAAAAACAGAGAGCTTTCGCCGTGTTGGCCAGTTCCGTGAGAAGGCGAACCAAATCACTGTGATCTGCCAGGGCGCTCTCCCATTGTCCCGATGCCAGATACCTAGGCTAAAAACAACAAATGCCAGTTGCCCGAGCCACAACTATTTGATGTTTGCCTTTTATTTGTACTACGTATACGACGTGTGCGACTTGGCGATGGTGACGCTGATGAGGTACCGGAGTGCCAGGGGGGGAGGTCGAAATCGGAATCGGAATCTAAATGCGAATGCGAATCTGAAACTAAACGGGAGGGAGAGTGGAAGCTTTCGGCGCTCGCTCGCAGTCGACTTTTTGCACCGGCAAAAAAACTAAGCAGCCGGCAAATGTTTTTGTGCAAACTCTCCGACCACCTCCGCCCCCGCCCCCGCCCCTTTCGGATTCGGGTTCGGATTCTCTCTGCACTTGACGTGCCCTCTCGGCAGAGTGCTCTAGTGTTTTACATTGTTGTCGTTCGTATTGGCGCCAAACGAGAGTGTCTATTGTTGGCAATGCGGCGTTGCCACGCTTCAGCCGCGGACATGCTTAGATGGCGACGTTGCCTCGCTTTGTGGGAGAACCTAGGAGTCTGGAATCAAGCTGGAGGCCCTGACCGAAATCGCCCTCAATCCGATCCCGCACCCGATCGTCCTCCCCCTCGCACTCCTTTACTTCGCGAACTGTTCGCAGTCGCAGTCGTAATCGTCGTATTCCCCATCTTCTTCGGAGTCCACATCCAATTGTCCACCAGCCATTATGGCCAGCTCAAAATTGCCCTGCCGCCGCAGGCTCTGCAGATCCAGAAAAATGTCCTCATCCTCCACGAACTCCACGTCGCTGTCTGTATCGAAGTGGTCCTCCCGTAACAAATCCAGCCGCACAAACCCGCCAAAAATTGCGTTCTTTCCCAATATGCGACAGGAAAGGTTGATATTGCTGGCGGATGGCACGATCGTATCATCGCCGGCAGGGCCAGCATTTTTGGTTCGTTTTATTCCTGGCAGGTGGCGCGGTCTGAAGATGGGAGTTCGCCTGTAGAGCTTCAGCAGGAGGGTGAGGGCCCTGTTCCTGGCCATGAGGAGCAGCTGTCCCATCCAGGGCTGCCTACGGCTGATCAGAAAAGAGGCTCGCATAGCTGGTCTAATGAAATAGAGTTATGTATGTGTTTGCTCTGACAAATTGTACTTTCTAGCTGTTCGTGCTGTCAAGTGTTTTATTTAAGCACAGTCTAGCGATTCAGTTGCGTCGAAAACAGAATTCAGAACACAACACAATGAATAAATCCAAATCGGAACGTTTCGGACCCTCGCAGGAGGTCGGAGTGCCAAGGACGGCATCTGGGTCCGTGAAGGATCTCCAGGCATCTGATCGAAACCTTTGCGGAAAGCCTAGCTTCCTCGTCTGCCGGGGAAAGAAGTCGCCCGATATGACCGAAGTCGACAGCTCGACCGATCTCAGAGAGCCAAACGGCTCAAATCTGCAGCAGACCGCTCTGAAAATCCATGGCATTATGAAGCACCAACGAAACATAATCGAAATGGTGGATGATGCTAACAATAATATCTAAACGCTTCCCGGAGGAGAAATGACTACGAAAGTAAGGTCTCCACCAAATGCCTTATTATTTGTCGAAATTTTCAAGTTCAACTAAATTTGACCAGTGTTACTCCCGGCATTTACGTTCCATTCATCCAACACACTTAATATCCCGCTCTTTCGGATTATCCGGTCAGCATTTGCCATTGTACCCTCGGCCACATTTGTTGCGATCAATGGCTTTATCATTTTGTTTTTAATAAATATTTATAAGTAAGCACTTTTGTTTTTCTACTGATAGTACCGCATATGACGGAGCCCCCCGTTGTCCAGGCGCAACAACAACGGCAACTGATTAATCCAACGCAGCCGATGGAGATAAGTTTATATATAGCATTTGGCATATGTTTCCATTGAATAATAGAACCATACGTGGTAAATACGGGCTTACTTTCACAACACCAGCAAACCTCAGACTTACAAAACAATTTTGAAAGGTCATACCACCGAATTACGAGGAAATTTTAATTATATTACTCTCTGTAGGTCTAAGCAAATACAGTCAGAAATATGCAACGCAGCGATAGAGACATTCCCAGAACACAATATATTCCTGAGTTCGTTTGATCGGTGAATTCTACAACTAAATGTGAAGTGGTCTTAATGTTTAAAATTTTGTTAGTTAAAACCGTTCACCCTCTTCCAAATTATACATTTCGATGAAAAAGTATTGATGTATAAAATCTGCGCCGCCTAGATTAAAAAACCTTTTTTCGGAGGCAAAGGTGCGTATGGGTGATAAATTCGTCAACAATTCAAAGACCTTAAATTTAATTTTTTCATAAAATCGTTCTCCCGTTTCTAACAGTGCTAAATTATACAAATTGATAGAACAACTGGTATAAGAAGAAATAATTTAAAAAAAAATGCTTACCGTGTTTTATATAACTTACTAAAAATCTTTAAAAAAAGCCAACCGTGCATATTGTATAACTATATTTTTTTAAAATTTGTTTTACCCACAAAATCGCCATAAATCAAGTTTGAGTTTTATTTTTGATCACGACGAATAACGGTTATTTGTCAACTTTTATTATAAAAATCAAAAAATAACAGTTATTCTTTGAGTTTTACTTTACGAATCCGAAAATAACTGTTAAAATGTGATTTTTAACATAAAACTCATAACAGTTACGGTTCTGTTAAAAACTTTGCATAAAACTACTAGATTAAAAAATTTTTTTCGGAGGCAAAGGTGCGTATGGGTGATAAATTCGACCCCAATTCGCAGACCGTAAAACGCTTTTTTTTAAATTCCAAAAAAGCGCTAGCTATAGTCGGGTGAGAGTAGGACTTGTTTTCTTGATAATACTCCCATCTACTCTGGTGTAGCATTATTTTAAAATTAAAAATGGCGAATTAAATTGTATAAAACAAGAAAGGAAGCTAGCTTCGGCCAGCCGAAGCTTATATACCCTTGCAGATCATTCCTATTAATTAACAAATCGCAAAAATGTTCAATTTTCTAATATTTCTCATTAATTTTCCGATCGTTCCTATGGCAGCTATATGATATAGTCGTCCGATTTTGATTAAATTAAAATTGAAATTCGGAAATATTTAAAAAGAGTCATATCCTAGAGTAGAAGATAATACAATAAAAACCAAAGAAGCTAGAATTTATTTCCTATTTCTTTTCCATTAATTTTCCGATCGTTCCTATGGCGGCTATATGATATAGTAGTCCGATTTTTTAAATTATTAATTCGAAATTCAGAAATATTTAAAAAATAACATCCCCAAAAGTAGAAGGTAATATTTCAAAAAACACCGAAGCTAGAATTTTTTAAAGTTTTTTTTTCCGATTGTTCCTATGGGAGCTATAAGATATAGTTGTCCGATCCGGTCGGCTCCGACATATATACTACCTGCAATAGAAAGAAGACTTTTGGGAAAGTTTCAACCCGATAGCTCAAAAACTGAGAGACTAGTTTGCGTAGAAACAGACAGACGGACAGACGGACAGACGGACAGACGGACAGATGGACAGACGGACAGACGGACAGACGGACAGACGGACATGGCTAGATCGACTCGTCTAGTGATGCTGATCAAGAATATATATACTTTATGGGGTCGGAAACGCCTCCTTCACTGCGTTGCAAACTTCTGACTGAAATCATAATACCCTCTGCAAGGGTATAAATATGAAGAATATATCAAAAAGCTTGAATAGAATCACTTGGAAAATCAATTAGTAAAAATACACATGTCAGTCAAGATATAATTTTTTTATTTGACCAAAACTTTACAAAAACAAGAAAGGAAGCTACCTTCGGCCAGCCGAAGCTTATATACCCTTGCAGATAAAGTAATGCTCACTCGGTGCTGTTCCAGGGATTCCAGATTTAGCGTTTCTATTTTTGAATTTTGTTTTTAAAGAGTCAAGAATTAAAACGCCTACTTCCTACAAAGTAACAATGAATTTTCTTATATATCTTTCAATATTCCTATGGGAGCCTTGAGATATAGTGGTCCGATCCGGCTCGCTCCGACATATGTACTACCTGCAATAGAAAGAAGACTTTCGGGAAAGTTTCATCGCGATATCTTTAAAACTGAGAGACTAGTTCGCATAGAAACGGACAGACGGACAGACGGACAGACGGACCGACGGACAGACGGACAGACGGACATGGCTAGATCGACTCGTCTAGTGATGCTGATCAAGAATATATATACTTTATGTGGTCGGAAACGTCTCCTTCACTGCGTTGCAAACATCTGACTGAAATTATAATACCCTCTACAAGGGTATAAAAAGAAGAGTATTTGTGATTATATAAAATGTTTCGAGTTATAGATGCTTGGCTCTTGACCAGTTAAAGTGTTCGAGAACCCTGCGTCCGCTAGTGAGGCTTTAAATTCCGGTCTTTAAGTTTGGCGCGTCGAAGCCCAGACTCCGCTCGCGACCGGTGACTGCGACTGATTTACCCACTTCTAAGCTCGGCCAGTTTCCAAATCGTAACACTTTCACGCGCTGCCACCAAAGTCGCCAGACGGCCAGCGGAGGGATCTGCTTTGGGGAAGGGTTTAACTAACCGTCCTGCGGGCCAGGCGCAGCCCTTTCCCCACCCATGGTCGGGCCTAACACTCCGCGGGGGCAGTCGAAAAAGGGCAACAGAACCTCAGCTGCAAAGGCACGCGACGCAAGGCCTCAGTCGCAGAGACGCGTGCGTCGACTGCGGACCCATGTGAGTCGCGCGACACGTACACACACTCGGGCGAGATACACACGGGCGAGTGTCTGTGTGCACAGATGTAGATACAGCACATTCACATCCACACACGTCTCCACCGCCAAGTTGCTTTTTGCGAACTTTTTGCCGACGCTTTTTGTTGCTTTGCCCCGTCTCTCTGTCTCCCTCTGTTTGTCATTGCTCTCTGTCTCACACACACACGGGCAGAGGTCTTGAGTAGCTCTCTCGCAGCACTTGTCTCTCTCGCGGTGCGACTCTCTTAAAGGCGGGGGCGTGGGGTGGAGCGTGGGGTAGAGGGTGAAGTTCTCGTTCTCGTCGTCGTTTTGGGTTCGCTCCGTTTGATTTTCGCTTCGTTGTTGTTGTCTGAGCGCGAGTGTCCGTAAAAAGCTTTGTGCGCCAACCCCCCACATTCCCCGTCCACGACCCCTCCTACACCCGCTGAAGAAGGTTTATTCAGTTTCTTTTTGGCTCTCCCAGCTCTCACGGCTCCTGATGCTGCCGACGCCGACGCTGGCCGAGACTGCGGCTTGGTCGTCGCCGCTTTCATGGGGTTCTTGAGCGTATGCAAAAGATTTTTGCACATATTCATCTTTTTGGCCGTTTTCGGTGCGTTTCGCGGAGCTCGCTGGCTCTTGGAGTGTTCGCGCGAATTTCCAGCATTTTTGCGCGCCCAAAGAAATTGTAGTTCCCGTGTTTCTGTTCTGGTTCGGAGGCCACGATCCAATCTTTTGGGTTCTGCGTCTAACCCTCAGCGCTCTATAATCTTCGATCCAAAAGTCCCAAAATCCTTTAACCAGAACATTCCAAAAACTGAACGGTGCTAGCATGGAAAATACCTCGAAGACCTTTTAGAGTGAATTTATTCTTGACAGATAGTAATTCGAGTTACGGAAGTTTGACTGTACATTCTTTCCGGGACTGCGAATTTCATGTTGCGAGTGCTCAATGCGAAAAGCTTTGCGTAGGAAAATTCGCTTGTGAAGTGCAAAATGATTAATGTTTATTGCAAGTGACGGTCAAAAAGACTGATGCTCGTCAGAAGGAGTATTTTTCAGATATTTCATCTTCAAGGCCAGCATTTGGAAAGTTGGCAATCATCTGACAAATCCATTGCAACACCCTTTTAAAAGCTGTGCCTTTAGTTGGCCGGCCCAAAAGCAGAGCGAGCTATCTGCCGCATCTACGGATATTGACTCTCCCCGATGCGGTTCAACGATTTCTGTTCAACTATTTGGAACTTTAATGTTTTAGTGTTTGGCGGGTGGAATTGGCGGTGCCGGCGGGTTATTCAGTTACCCGTTGTGTTCCACGACAAAAAAGCTAAACGCAAACGTAGTATCTATGACTCTGTGTATTCGTGTGTTGTATCGCTATCCATAAATCTGCCCCGCACGAAGTGCAGTCGCCGTCGTCCAACTTTTATTTCGCTGGCGTTGCCGCAGATTTCTCGACTGTTGTTGTCTGCATTAGATCGTATCTATGTTGCCAGTTTTACTTAGTTTGGATGGGTTTTGCTTTGTTTTCTGCCGCCCACAGAGACCACATAGACCCACCCTTCTGGGGGGCCAGTGCTTTCGAAACCCCCTTTCCGTCATCTGGCGGCGTTTTGAACTTGAAAATTTTGTTGTTCGCTTAGTTTTACCATATTTTCTAGCTTCCCGGCATTGTCCTTGCGCCCTCTCTCTGGTTCTCTCCGAGCGGCTCTCTTAGAGTCCTCTCCGATGTTTAGACAATGCGTGCCGTATACAAAACACTGGTGTCTAGGGTTAGGAATAGAAGAGCAGTGGGTGGGCTGTGGGTGCAGATGTGTCTGCGGTTGTTTGTCTCGGTGCCAGCGAGTGAGAGTGTATGTGGAGTCTGTGCCATGTGTTGATTTTATTTAGGCAACAGGAAGAGCGCTTCGAAAGGGGGAGGGGGATGGGGATCCCAGAACCAAGACCCCAAGACTCAAGAAACACAATGAACTACGTTTTCTTTGGTTGTACTACAATTTAATTAACTAAATTTTGTTCATATA